GTAGTTGATGTTAAGTGGAAACTAGGTAACATTGATTACCTGTAGCTACTAGTACTAAAGATAGTGTAGTGAGTAACATTTCATTATTTTTTGTTTGCAATATGTTAATAAATTAAAGATTCACAATGTCTGTTGACTTGTGTTTCTCATCTGTAGTGACTGTTTTTGAAAGATCATGTTGGAGATAAAATATGTTTCATCTTAAAGATTACATTTTTTTTGCTGACCATTCAGGAGGAGCAGCTCTTACATTTTCTTTATTTAAAGATCTTTCAGTTTGCTGTTACATTTTATTTCTAGTAATTGAATATCATGATGAATGAATAGAATTGTTTTTTGATTCTTCAAGATTCCAACAATACTGCTCTCATTGTTGGTATTGTTCCAGTATCTCTTCTAATTCTGATAACCATTATTATTGTTGTGTTCCAGATCTCGACAATACTGCTCTTATTGTTGGTATTGTTGTTCCAGTATCTCTGATAACCATTATTATTGTTTTGTTCCAGATTCCGACAATACTGCTCTTATTGTTGGTATTGTTGTTCCAGTATCTCTGATAACCATTATTATTGTTGTGTTCCAGATCTCAATAATACAGCACTCATTGGTATTGTTGTTCCAGAATCTCTTCTAATTCTGATAACCAGTATTGTTGTTGTGTTCCAGATCTCGACAATACTGCTCTTATTGTTGGTATTGTTCCAGTATCTCTGATAACCATTATTATTGTTTTGTTCCAGATTCCGACAATACTGCTCTTATTGTTGGTATTGTTCCAGTATCTCTGATAACCATTATTATTGTTGTGTTCCAGATCCCGACAATACAGCACTCATTGTTGGTATTGTTGTTCCAGTATCTCTTCTAATTCTGATAGCCATTATTATTGTTGTGATTCTTCGTCGAAGAAGAACTGGTCCTTTCATGAAGAAAGGAGGAGTAGTAGATGGGAAAGAAGATGCCCTCTCTATACCTGAAAGTGAAATAATAACTAGGTAACTATCATTATCTTTTTAATTTAATTTTTATCAGATATAATATTCTTTTTGGTCCAGAGTATAGACACAATGTACTTGATCAACTAAGATTTAAATAGGCTGTTCTTCTTGAATCATAGGTCTCAGTAGAGGGTTCTTCTTAATTATAGATTTAATATCATGTGTAGATTAATACTTCATAGTTATGAATGAAATTAATATGGATATTTTGTGACACTAGTTGCAGTATTAAAGTAAAGTTTTAAAATAGAATTTTAATTTTTTCTTATTGGTTGCAAATATTCTCTATTTTTTTGTGACTTTAAAGTAAGATTTACCAAAGAACTTGTTTCTTCGTATTTGTTGGTCTGTAACAGTTTTACTTTACTCCAACTCCACACTGCCATCTGTGTATAAGTAAGGGTTAGTGATAAAACAAAACTGTTGACCAGCATGTGCTTTAAGATGTGTTTATTATGGTGTATATATATATTTGAATATTTAGTTTTTTGTTACAAGAATTATGCTCAGTAAATTTTTGTCTTTTTTTTTTTAATAATTTATGATAACAATATTCTAAATATTTTACAGTCGCCCAATCAGGTTGAAAGATTTTGCAGAACACTATCGTATAATGTCTGCAGATTCTGACTTCCGTTTCTCAGAAGAGTTTGAGATGTTGAAACACGTAGGACGAGACAGGTCATGTGCAGCAGCTGATTTTCCTGTTAATAGACCAAAGAACAGATTCACTAATATTCTGCCTTATGACCATTCTCGTGTTAAACTTCTGCCAACAGATGATGAAGAAGGTTCTGATTACATTAATGCTAACTACATCCCAGTAAGCCTTACTTTAACTTATTGAACTTTTTTAGTAACTTCTGCTTTGGAATACAACTTACTTTTTAAAATGGTGTATCTGGTGAGAGCTGTATGTCTGATTGTTTTAAGTATTTGGTGAAGTTGAACTATGAAATCTTTCCCCGTACTATACTTTAGCTTTTGATGTTCAAATTCTGTTTTCTTTTTCAGGGTTATAATTCTCCAAGAGAATTTATCGTAACTCAGGGTCCCTTACACAGCACAAGAGACGACTTCTGGAGGATGACTTGGGAACAGAACAGTCGTGCTATTGTAATGCTGACTCGCTGTATTGAAAAAGGTCGAGAAAAGTGTGACCACTACTGGCCGCTGGATACTCAACCTGTATATTATGGTGATATTCAGGTCACAATTTTGAATGAATCTCAGTATCAAGATTGGACCATTTCAGAGTTTAGAGTCTCAAGAGTAAGATGTAACATGTTTTCCTTTTTTACAAAACTAAGTAGTTATGTAAAGTGTTAAATTAACTCGATCATAGGAGGAGTCATAGAACAGTCTCTAACATAAAACTAGTCATGTTTCTTAGAGTGAGTAACAATGTTAAGACAATACAATTACATTCAAGGACAGGTCATAGACACCTTGTCACATATAACTATTCACTGTTTGTAGAGTGAGAATGTTACCTACATCTTTAAGGAATGTCACTGAAACTAGATAGATTACTAATCATTACCTGTACTAAGATATGTTATACTAATCATTACCTGCACTAAGATCTATAGATATGTCATACTAATCATTACCTGCACTAAGATCTATAGATATGTTATACTAATCATTACCTGCACTAAGATCTATAGATATGTCATACTAATCATTACCTGTACTAAGATCTATAGATATGTCATACTAATCATTACCTGCACTAAGATCTATAAATATGTCATACTAATCATTACCTGCACTAAGATCTATAGACATAGGTAACAACTAGTATATCGTATCTCTAGATCTTAGTATAGGTAACAACTAGTGTGTCATATCTACAGATCTTAGTGCAGGTAATGATTAGTATAACATATCTATAGATCTTAGTGCAGGTAATGATTAGTAACTAAGATCTAGAGATACGATATACTAGTTGTTACCTATACTAAGATCTGCAGGAATACTTGTTACCTAATGTTTCAACTTTTGCAGGAACTAATATATATATATATATATATATATATATATACTATTTAAGTTTT